ATTGTCTCATTAGAAGACCAGTTGTCACATTCTGAATGTAATCAAATATAATACTGTGGGACAGATCACAGTTTTAGAAAAATGAAATAGAAATAATATATGTTATTTTGTTACGGCAAAACATGTTAAGTATATCTTATCTTCCGTAAGTTTAGGCCACTTGAGGTAGATTTGGATCTACAACATCCAATAATTCAAGATTAGCTCTCTCTGTTTATACACCTGAGTGAGTTTTCTGAATCTTATAATTAAAACAATACTTTTCGTTTTATTTCATTTTCTGACTGCTTTCTTATTATCAGTAAAATGTTCAAGAAATATATAAATTCCTCAAATAGGTTATTCAAAATAAGTGCATTGTCTTTCCTGGGAAGAGGGGTGTCTTGTGCGAGGGGGTGGGGAATTTAACGGGGGATTGTCAAGGGGGGATGTCTAGTGGTGGATTTCCTTGAATCATAAAAATAATTACTCGCTGAAAAAGTGCAAAAATAGAGGAATAGACAGAGGGAGAGAGAGAAATCTAAAATGTATATGTACAGTATGCATCAAGTCGCAGCGTATCACGGCATCAAGTCGCACTGTATCACGCAAAATTAAACAAAAAAAAAATTACCCAAGCTGTACAAACTTTCGTTGATTTTGTATCAACTTTGCATTAATTTTTAAAGGAAATGTAGGCAGAACGCTAATGACTAATTACGGATTAATGCAAAGAAGGGTTGAAAATTTGCTCTTTTTAATTGCATCCGAAATGATATTGACATTGGTTGTGAACGGCACACGTCGACAACATTTTTGGGGTATAAATAAAGCTCCTCCTCTTCGGAGACTTTACAGTTGGTTTGTGGATTCATTCAGAATTACACCTTGAGTACCGAATCTTGCAAATATGCGCAAGTTGCTGGTGACGTTGATTTTGCTGGTTCTGTTTCAGTCCTTGTGGTAAGTGAAATGTTACACGTTTAAAATGGAGAGAGAGGGAGAGAGAGAGAGAGAGAGAAATGTGAGAGAGAAACTATAAACTAATATGTCAATTTATCTGCCTTAGAGTAAATACCTACGTTCAATTTTACAGGATTGGTGACAGTCTGGGAAAATCTGAAGCCGACCTGAAACGGTCAAAGCGATTTTTGAGCAGCAGTAAGTATAAATGTGCATTGTTGGACTTATCTTTTCAATATCTTTTCAATAAATAAATATAGTTTAATGTAATTTATCTGTTTGTACGATTCCCTAGTTGCGACAACTCTTTTCAAGTAGTAATTTGCGTAGATATTTATAAGATGTCCGATGGAATACTATGCAGTGCCAACAAATGAGATCGGCTAAAGATCGAAGAACTGAAGAACCCACATAGTGCCTCTTTGGCCACTTGTCTTTATAAATAGTAGCGGTTTATGTTAATATGTTTTTATGATCACTTTTGCTATTGGCGAAAGAAAATAGTATGGTAAAGATAAACCAGCACAGATTGCTTGCTACATATATATAAGTGAAAGTATGTATTTCAACATACATGTATTTATGAAAAACACTGTCTATACATGTACATGAAACGTTTTCTTTTTTCCGTCACAGTTACAAGCTCTGCAAGAAGACTCTTCTCGTCGGCGTCAAGCAGTGTGTCAAATTCTCTCAGTAAGTTAACTTATATACTTTCATGTCATCTGTGTATATTTAGCTAACTTCATACTGTATCATCATTTTATTTACAGCTAACAGTGTTGGCAACTGTACATAACAGTGGTATTTAGGAATGCCTTGCCTCCCACTCACTTACGTGCACAGCTACTTCTTTTACGGTATTGAGGGTCAGACTATGTCCCCTTTATAACACGTGATCTATGCAGTTAATGGTTTAAGGTAGTGCCCTTGTGCTGCATTGTAAACTGCACAACAATGTCACCCGTGGCAGTGGCAGTGTCGGTTAGATTGTTGAGCAGAGTGCTGATGTTTTTTGCTATAATACATACAATTTTATATTGAATATCCAATTTGTAGAGATAGTCTTACAGCTAAGATGTTATAGTGTGGTTGAGTGATAACCATAAATTCTGCTTTACCATCATTCAATTGTAACTTAATTTTTGATCATCGATCGTCATGAATCTAAAATGACGTTTGACGTTTTAATTTTTGGACCCTCAGGCCTATGAGTATATTATTGAGTGTCAAATGCATATACTGTATGTCATTACCAATGTAATCATGTGGAAGTATGGCACACTAGGGTAGGATGTAAATGCACAATTTAGTTACATGAGTGCCAATCTTTTTTGGCTTTCTCTGGTTCGGCTTGTATACTGATGACCTTGTGTAGTGAGTTTAGTCTATGAAAACACCCGCAAAGAAAACTTTAAAAATAAACAAAGAAATCATAAAACAAGCTGTCAAAGCAACAATTTTAAGAGTACCTATCATTTCTTCATCTATATCTGCCATGTGCACTGAAGTCCATGTACGGGAGATAAGGAATGTGAACGCACTTCATCTTTGTTCAAATCACCATAGCAACAAAACGTACGTGGGTACTTATCATTTTTTTTAAATCTTAATACGGTAAGAATAATGTCAACTAAACATGTAAAAACTGAAGAAAATCTATTAGAATGAAGCATCATAAAGAAATTACCTTAAAACTATACATACTGGATTGCCAGTAAAGCATATTAACCACTTTTACTAGTTTTTTTTTTTTTTTTTTTTTTTTTTTTTTTTTTTTTTTTTACGACTAACATCAAGTACACATGCCAGTCAATAATTAATAATATATAGATAATTCTTATATGAAATTATAAAAATAAATTGTCAAAATGAAATAAGAATAAAAATATGAAAAAAAATAATATCTCATTCAGGTAAAGTGTAGCCTTAAAAATGCACCCTTTTTATTTTTATTTTTGATCGTACATTGACCTATTCATCTATCCCTCCGGTTCATTAAGGTCCACTAAGCGGCCTAAATGTAGAACTTCGCGCACTGCATAATTATTTATACTCAGAAAATTTTCATTTATGATAGATCCAGATATTTGATTTACCTGTGGACTGTTCCGTCTGTTCACTCTGAAAGACTTGGTCACAACTGAATTACCTGTTCAGGTGAAGGTGAACAGGTAATTACCTCAAGGAGGGTTTGAAAATGTTATTTATACTGTTTGGATGTAGAACAGTTCGCTCACTTGCATACATTCAAATGAGACTGCTGAGGGATATTGACAGCACAAAAAGCAAGCAGAAAAATCCGTTCATATATCATTTTTTCGTGAAATATTAAACAAATGCCATTTGGTATTTCTCTTAGTTATACTATTTGGAACTACACTAAATATGAAAGCATGTGGTCGGGTTTTGTGAAATTGACTGTAAACGCATCTTTTATCTACCCTGCTTTCGTGTTACAGGAAGTGTAATCTGCAGATTTTGTAGCAGCAACGCCAGGTGTAGTAATTATCGGTGCGTATGCAACAGCGGCTACTCGGGAACCGGCATTCGCTGTTCAGGTATGGTTATTATATGGCATTCATTGATTCCTTCGTAAGACCCATTTCAAGGGAAAGTCTCCAGGATTTTAGAAGTCTTCAGTATCACTTTTCTCACTCCATGGCAGTGGCGGATTTAGAGGTCCTGACCCCCCCCCCCCTTCCATTTCTGGTCTCCCCTCTTGAAATTCGAATTTTGACTAGCTGAATCCTAGTTTTAAACCGTACCAAATGGCACCGTTCGCTCTCTAAAATACCAAAATTTATTCGGGGCCTTCGGCGGGCCCCGAACCCCATGCCAAATATATTTGTGTGTGTGTGTGTGCGTGTGGGTGGGTGGGTGGGTGAGGGGGGGGGTCGGCTTTGTATCCACGGACCCCCCCCCCTTTCAAATACTCCTAGATTCGCCCCTGCATTGTAAATAAGAAAGACGTAGCATCATTAAGGGCACAGCTACACCAAATTGTCATCACTATTATTATTATTATTATTTCTGCTTCTTGTTAGATGTCAATGAATGTTCAAGTTCAAGGAGTAACAACTGCCACAGTAACGCTCGCTGCACCAATACTGTAGGAAGCTACACTTGCAGGTGTAATACTGGATACAGCGGCAACGGCGTCTCTTGCTCAGGTAAGTACTTTTGGTTTTTAAGGCATATATACAATTAGTGTTAGACCTCTACTTGACCACGTTTTTCTGGTAAATTCTTGCTGTTAACAGACAAAATATTGGGTGGTAATTCTCAGTAAATTTTTGCCATAGCTATTGACAAATGAAACTTACGTTGTTTTCACTGTAAGCGTTGAGTAGTTTCATTAACTATGCGTTTTGAATAAACAAATAAAATTTCAACAGCAGAAACGTCTTTGTAGTTGTATGAAAAAGACGGGATTCTACAAACAGAATTCTTTTAAAATTGTGTATTGCTATTTGTTTTATTGTTTTATTTGATTTTTTATCTTACTTATTGTGTCTTTAAGATATTTATTATTATTTGTTTCTTTGTTTTTAATTATTTTGAGAAAGAGCATTGAGATAGAATTCGCCCTTATTATTATTGTTATTGCTATAAAATTCACCATTATTATTATTTTTCTGTTAGATATCAATGAATGTTCAAGTTCAAGGAGTAACAACTGCCACAGTAACGCTCGCTGCACCAATACTGCGGGAAGTTACACTTGCAGGTGTAATACTGGATACAGCGGCAATGGTGTCTCTTGCTCTGGTAAGTACGTTTTGGTTTTCAAAGGCATAGGCCCCTACAGTACGTATTTGACAAAAAAACTCTGGAAATTTCAAATTTTATTTTATTTAATATTTTTTTTACTTTGCCTTCTAGGTATGTGATAATAAAGTCATTCTGAAAAGCTACTGTCTATAAACCAATTCTCGGGGTATAAATTTCAAAAAGTTACCCTCACGAGTTTAATTCATCGGTTTCAATACCCGTCAGGAATAACCAAAATACGAATTTTAAAACACAGTTGTTTAATTCTGTGAACATCTTTAGACATGGTTTTCCTTGCTGATTTTGACAAAAGTGCTGAGATTTCCCCAAAACAAATGCTTGCTTACCTAAATTTAAGTATACTGGCCAGTGGGTATTTCACATGCTTCACAATATATTCCAAATGAAACGAAGGAAGGTAAACCTCAGGAAAGATCAGTTTGGCATGAAGGAGCAGGTCAGTTTTGGAAATAGCTTTTATGTGAATTCTCAGAGTTTAAGATACAGCTTCTCAATCAAGTGGCCTTGGTAATCAATTGATTTATGAATAATCCCATGCAACTATTTCAAAAATATTGTCCTAGCACGTCTGTGCAAAACATACGGGTGGTTAATAAATAAATGACAAATACACATTTAAAATGAAGGAATATTCATTCCAGATATCAATGAATGCACCTCTAGAAGTCACAGGTGTTCCTCCAATGCAAACTGCATCAATACCGTAGGAAGTTACAGATGTTCGTGCAACTCCGGGTATGCTGGGAACGGACTCACGTGCACAGGTACCGTTGATTTGCAAACATATTGGCCGATGGTGGCTCTTTTTTTTTTTTTTTTTTTTTTTTTTTTGAAGTTTCATAGACGTTGTCAGACCCAATATTGCGCAATTTTCGCAAGCTGAAAACATGTTATTTACAGCCCTCATAAAACTAACAGCAGCGTTCCTTAAAAAAACCTTCCTAACGATACACACACACACACACATACAGTTTATACGTGTACTAATGTTATGTTACGCTCTAGCGCTCTCTCTTTCTCTCTCTCCGTATATTTTCCTATGCACTTTCCACCATTTTCGTCATTTTAGATCAAAATGAATGCACGCATGGCACTCACAATTGTGACGTTAATGCTAACTGCGAAAACACTCAGGGAAGCTTCACCTGCAGGTGCAGAGAAGGTTTCCAAGGCAATGGAGTCCAATGCACAGGTGGGTGCTTTCTTCTAAATTTGTAAATGTCAAGTGAAAATTACAATATGAGTAGGGGTAAACTGTTAACAATTAAGATTTTGGTAGGGTAGAATGGTCAATTAAAACAGGGAAATTCGATTTGTAATTCTGGACATTTCATACACAAAATAACGTAATACTATACTTAACTATATAGTATTAAATACTGTTAATACCTTACGTGTACGTGTACTTGCAATTTTTTACACAGATCACTTTTAAAATTGGTAATTCATTATATGATTAACCCATGCGTTTGGACAGTACAAACATGGTTTATTTGACGTTGATACTACCCTCTGAGACAAACACATTTCAGACATAAATGAATGTGAAAGTGGGGCACATACCTGTGACGCTAACGCCATCTGTACCAACACCCCTGGGGGTTACACGTGCTCATGTCACAACGGTTACGATGGGGACGGATACGATTGCCAAGGTGAGGTTTAAATGTATATAAACAAATGCAAAAAAGCTCAACTACATAGTTGGTTAGCGGCAGAGTTTAAGTGTGCCACTTGCTGGTGTTATGAGTAGGTGTATTTGTAGGTCGTCAGCTGTAGGTCGTGGACACAATTTCAGTGCGTGCCGTGGGCGCTTTTGTCGGAAGATACGCCCTTGTTCACGAAAAAATGGGTTTTATGTCTGTCTTTAAGTATTTTGTTGTAATAACGAAATGTCAGGGTAGATTAAATGTGGCTATATACTCAATGTAGCTCTAATGTACTGTGAATGACCAATGTACAATTTGGCCAAAACCAATAGACAAAGTCTAAATGTGATATCAGGTTATTTATCTAGACAATGGTTATATTATCAAGCTTCAGCTGTTAAGGTCTTTGAAGAATAAATCTAACAGGACAATTAAGCAACTTGGAGGGGGTCTGTAAAGGGGTGAAGCACTAAGAAAACTACCTGGTGAGATTTGTGTGAGTTGAGTGATATTGGTGTACAATCCAGGATTTCTTTTTTGTATTCTTCCTTGCAAAGAATACAATTTTTATATTTCTCATGGCAGACGAAGACGAATGTTCCGCCGGCACACACGATTGTGACGTCAATGCAGTTTGCTCAAACACGGATGGAAATTACACGTGCGAGTGTATGGACGGTTACCAAGGCAACGGTCATATCTGCGAAGGTAAGGCTACTAATTGTGAGATTTTCTCAAAGCATAGGTGCGCTGTTATCATAGTACTTTGAGGGTAGCGTGTATTTATTTATTCATTTATCAAATATTTTTTGTGGATATGTTTTTCGGCTGAGGGGATAATATGAGATCCCGTGCCTTTGTTTGCACTGACAAACAGAGTACCGTAACGGACCTTGATGAAATAACGGGCGCTGGTATTGCGTCTTGATTGTTATTATGTCATTATTGTTTCTGTTTCAATGGAATACAATAATACAATGCATGTACAGTGTCGCCGGAAAGTAACCTTACCAAAAGGCCGCATGGACTCCCAACCCAGCCCCGTATGGTCGAACAATAAACACATGCCTTCACTTTCATCTTTGTAAATGGGGCATTTATTTATCTTTCTATTACGTTCTACGCGTACCTTTGTGTAGTACTCATGCATTAGAAATGATTGTTGTCAAATTTCCAACATGTAGATGTTGATGAGTGTGAAGAATCGGAAGTTTGTGGACCTAACTCTGTATGCACCAACACCGTGGGCAGTTATGAGTGCGCGTGCGCAGAAGGCTACACCATGGGAGACGATGGGCAGTGTGTTGGTAAGACAACTAAGCATCAGACACGCACGTCTTTATCCTATCAAAAATATAGAACCTCGTGCTATTGTGCACCGGGGTTTGCAATTGTCAACCTTTTATAGTATGACAGAAGTGAGGTTTTGACTTTGCAGTGTCTTTTATTTCCAAGATTAAGCAGGACTGCGTGCATATTTTATGTGCGCGTACAGTACAGATTTTTTTTTTAAATAACAGCTAGGACAAAGTACCAAAACTACTGTACTGTCAAACAATACGCTACTGAAACCGTTGATGTATATGTGCATGAATGTACGCAATTTTAAATTAATCAAAACATCATCTTTGTAGATGTAGACGAGTGCCTCCCAGGCACAAACTGTGATGTCAATGCCCAGTGTACTAACACTGTTGGTAGCTTTGAATGCGCATGCGCTGAAGGTTATGAAGGCGATGGTTTGGAATGCACAGGTATTTAAAAAAAGCATTCTTATAGTGTGTATGCCAATGTTCATTCATCATTTTAGTATGTCTTTTACTCAATCTTGGGATTTGAAATCAAAATACTGAGAAAACCCAATTATACTTGTTCTGATTATCACACCAAAAGGAAAATGCAATTGCTGACAAAAATAAATAGAATCATATAAAATTGTGGTAGTTAAATGCTATTGGAACTGCGGTCCCAGTGCTCTAAACCACGGATATTTCCAGATATTGATGAGTGCAGCAACGGTGATCACGACTGCCATCCAGATGCCGTGTGCAACAACACTGCCGGAAGTTTCGAGTGCGCATGTTCTGAGGGCTTTGAAGGAGACGGAAGAACGTGCACGGGTAAAATGTCTTTTTTTATGATGACAAACAGTATATACACTGTACATGTGTGTTTATTCCTCCCCTTTATAAGTGAATGAAGTACACTGATATTCAATATGTGTGATCAGGCCAGACAAGCAGCGCTTTAAAGTACCCTAGTGAATTACCCATATATATATATATATATATATATATATATATATATATATATATTATTCAAAATATTTCATACAAATATCATTTCCTTGTATTTTAGCTGTAGCCGAGGAGGAAGAGTTACCCAGTAAGTACCCTTTATACAATAGCAAAAAAGAATGAGTCCATTCACTGATAGGTCTTAAAATTACCTAAAATTAACTGTATTTCAGCCTGATAAAAGCAAAAATTGTCCTGGATCTTTTTTATAACAAGAAATAGCTACAATGTAAATGCAATTCTTATTCATTGAAAAGGACAAGGTTTTTGTGGATTTAACTAATTATTATTATTATTATTATTATTATTATTATTATTATTATTATTATTATTATGGGTTGTTGTTGCTGTTGTTTCTGGCATTTCGTCCTTATTGTTGAAATTATTTCGTTTAAATGTCTGAATATACTAGTAATCTCTATCAATATATTCACTTATTTGAATTTTTTTACTATTCACTCTGCATTAAATGGAATGAAATTTAATAACATATTTTGATTAATCGTGAATAAGCATCTATCGTAAAATAGTGTAAAATATAATTGATTCTTAATAAGATTCAACACTTAGCGACCTTGCTAACACATTTCATAAGAATTTAAGCAATTTTGCTTTTATCTATGAACTACTTTATGAACATCGTTTGTTCAACCCTATTGTAAAGAGGTGACATTCAAAATATGTTAACTCATTGATCAAATTATAGCATTCTATAATAATATCATTTGTTTTCATCAGCTTGTGAACGACGCAGCTGCAAGGGAGATTGTCTGGATTTTCCTGACGGCGGTCAGGTGTGCCGGTGCAGCACTTGGAAGAGATATGGAAACGGTTGCGATGTCCTCAAGCAGACCTGTTCGACCAATTGGAAACGAAGCTGCGGCAAACTTCAGCTTGACGACGGCGAAGTGTGCAGGTAAGTTGCAGGTATATTTTCCGGTATTCAACCTAAATGAAGATTCATCATAATCACAAGCTGTCCTTTTTTTAAATAATAAATTGAATTAAAATGCATTTATATGGATCAGCTAAAAGTACACATGTATAAAATCTTCCAAGTTTCCGGCATATGCGTCTTCTTCAGGGACTGTTAAATAAATGAAATATTAGATTTATTCTACAGGCCTTGAAGATAGTGCTAATGCCGAAAAATGGAGCGTTTTTGCACATCGTTTTTATAATGTATCGGACGTATTGACGTAAATGACAAACGAGACCTGCGCAGTGCTGCTTTTTACCGGTATAGATTAACCAGTTAACCAGTTCAGTTACAACATTACTGTGTATTCGTCTCCTTAATTAATTCATAAAGCATGACAAATCCAGAATTATTGTGCATTTCATTCCAGGTTCTGGTGTCCGCCTGGATGTAACGAGGCTGGAAAACTGTTTGGGAGTGATACTTACACCGCGGTGAGGAATAATGTCCCCACTTATCGAATAATCATGTATTATCTCACTCTATCTCTCTTTCTCATTGAGTTGTATGTTTTATTTTTATACTCATTTATAAAATATTATTTTTTATTTAATTTTTCTGTGAAGTCTTGTTTTGATTTTTAAATTCCTTTTGCAAATTGTAAATCGTTAGTTTTGATTTGACTTCATTGTTCTGTGTATTTATTATTTATTCATTGATTTTTAACATATTTATCCTATTTTGTCGTGTATTTTTCACAATATTCACTCATTAAGTTATTTTTGATAAACATTTTTCCGCGTACGGTACACACACGCGCGCGCACACTTATTTTGATATTGGTTGACATTTGGTCCTCTCTTAATTTCCAGAACTCCCATGTCTGCCGTGCTGTCATCCACGCTGGCCTTGATGAAAATGCTGAAGGTGGTTTTTTCCTCGGGGTGGGGCTTACCTACAATGGCACCTATGAGGGAGGTACCCGTTTTGGCATGCCCTCGAGGAAGTAAGTAATATTTTGTTTCCACAATGAGTTTGCTGTCTGCGATTCCATAATAGTGCCTAATAAGATAATGAAGCCTGACTAGTAAAAAGTGTAATTCATTTCTTTTACCCTATAGTGCAGCGGTATATAAAATGTTGGTGAAAGGCAGTAAATATCATAGGTGTGTAATTACATGTTAGGTTTTCTCAAAGTGCAACGATACAGCCTATTTAGCATTAATATATTTCTCAACTTGAAAAGGACCTTAAGCGTTTTTGGCGCAAGGCGGACTTTTGAATGGTCATTCATGCGACAATAGATTGAAAATTCCATAGCGTCTTTTCATATCTCACGTTCTCTTCTCATAGAATTGATAGTGACTCTGAACAAGGTAATCATTTAAATCAGCCAAAGTAGTCTTTTTATACCTTTTTTTTCTTTTTAAAGCAATTGTTGACAAAGTCAACTATTTTTTTCAGTCAAAGCATTTTATGTCAATACCTTTCGATTCTTTTACAGCAAACGTCGCTACAATGGTGGTGCTTTCCGCCTCCTGGGTGATGAAAATATCGAAGAATGAATGACCATCTGGACCTTGGTCAACTCGTAGACTGGGGCTTACAGACGGACTGTTTGGATGATCGTTCTTGATTTGAAAACATATAATCCCCATTTGTGATCAAGATATATTCATGTTAGATTTTGGCTCTTACAATATTATTCATTTACCTTACTGTACTGTCTGCTTTCGGATTTCGATCGCAAATGGCATAAAAAAAGTTTGATACAAGACTGAGATTGCGGCTTAAACAAAGCCCAGTGGTGTTTTTATAGATAAATAACAGATAACAATAATAACATTGCATATTGCCGACTAAACCAAGATTGAAAATGCTACGTGGGCTTGTGTTATATATTATTTTGAAGTATTGGGTCTAATATTAGTAAGATAATAATACTGGGGTTCACCGGGGCATGTTGTGCCTTCATACTATTTTGATGCGCTTGAGAGATAGGCCTACTGGATGTATTGGGTCCATAGTAGAACTATATAGTATAGACTTAGTCATCGGTTCCAGTTCTGATATTCTTGATATTCCTTCACTTCTTTCTTTACATATTGGTGTTTCCGAAATATATATATATATTTTTTTTTGTCTTTAAAGTCTTAAAAAGTGGGTTAAATAAAACGGTTGAAAAACATAAAGTGCATTTTGCTTTCTTATAATTTATATGAAAAAGTTTTTTTTTTTAAACTGATATGGTATATTTTCAGAAATAAAAATTATAATAACCATTGTGTTAAAGTTCCCGAAATAAGATGCCATTAAACTATACTTATAACTGACCATTTTAATTGATATTTCAATAGAGGGGTGGTGATGTAATATTAAGCCACGTGATCTGGGTTAAGAGTCAGGCCCCGTATGCACAAAACATCTTAAGTGTATTTTTTAAAGAATTTCCCTAAGAATTTCCTTAAGTGATCATCCTTAACATAAGTGGTATGCATAAAGCATCTTAAGATGAGAATTTCCCCAAATATCTCCTTAACTTTAAGGTAACTCATCGGGTCTCTTAAGTGGAAATTTTGTCCTTAGATTTAGTGACTGTACAACACAGTGGCATTCATTTGTGCTAGTCAAAGCTGTTCAGCAACATTATTTCTCTATGGCTCTTATTCCCAGCGGGCAAAATATGTTGTTTTACATTGAAACAACGTTGAACCATAATGTTGATAAGACGTTGGATAAACAATGGATTTGAAAGTTGACTATCAACGTCAGATAACAACATTGTATCAACCCCAGTTGTTAGACAACATTCTTGCATGAAAAGACATTGAAATGACCTGAGGGTAGGGTATAAAAGTATATGGCCTTTAAGTTAAAATTTCGAAGGCTATATTCAGTCACCTCAAAGTCACAGTCACCTCAACCTGTCTATGTATAACAAGTTACCAAGAACTGTTAACATTATTAATTCACTCCATCACATTTACAGCCACTTATTCATCCTAGTGTTAGCTGACCTTGCAAGGAATTCAGTTTATTGGATTGTATTTCTGAATAACAAGTTAAGAAAATTCACTAGTTCACTAAAGACACAAAACAACTCTCACTTTTACTTTTAACACTTTTTTTGATTATTTTGATAAAGTTAGTTACGGTATTGATAAACAAAGAATCACGTTTTCAACAATTAATATTTTAAAATATAATCCATGTCTGCAAGGTTGCGTCAATGACCAAAATACAACGAGTCAACGTCACATTATGACGTTGTTTGGACGTGGCTGGATCAACGTTGATTTTACGTTGAATTTAGGTACATCAACGGCAATTCAATGTATCAACCTGTTTTCAACGTTGATCCAACGCAACTATGCCTGCTGGGTTATTGCTGTTTATCGTGAAGAAGTGGATAAACTGGAAAGGGCAGTCGCAAGACGAAGAATATTTCGAGACCTTTGGATTTTTACCCAGATCATGAGATTTACCAGCGATTTCGTTTTGATAGAGCGGGGATACTTTTCATTACGGATCTTCTGGCAGTTACATTTGTAATTTGTCGTTCTGTTAAGGGATATCTAAAGTGAAAATTTTTGAGTGGGCACTTTTTGTGGCATGTTGCTTATGAAATCCCCGAAAACCACCTGATAACACGGAATCTCACGCATCAATGCTTATACAATTAACATAGGTATTTAATATGTGCATACGTGGGGTCAATAGTGAAATTAATGATTAAAATTAATATTAATATTATGAATTACATGTCACAATTTTTCATCACAGATAACACTTAAAATATGTAAGTCGATGACATGTAAATGGCCATGGTCATGAAATAAGTACATGCTGGGCTTATTTCTTTTTTAGGGCCCATGAAAAAATGTTACTTCATCATCCGCGGCCGCATTACTTTTTCTGCTCACTAAAAAAATTATAAGGTAAATTTCCCCCGTTAAATGTGCACCTCATGCACAAAAACAGACTCTCCCTGTACTAGGAGTGCCTCTCACTGCAATTTATGTTACTACTAGCTTTGCTCATGGCACGTTCCATATTTTAGTGTATGTAATGACGGTCCGGAGGGCATCGTTGGTTAAATTCAATGTGTTTTTGTATGAGCAAAAAATACGCCCTACTGAATCACTTCTTGTAGGTGACAATGATGGTAAACAAATATTTTTTATGGGGCCTTTTTACAGAATTATCGCCGATAGGGGAGATGGGTGCACATGTATCAGCCAATAGAGATAAAACCTTTTGATTAAAATGTAATTATGTAACTGGATTATTATTATTAGTGTCGGGTCCGGGGATTTGATGACATGCCTCTTTTCCTGTCAGAGTATGAAGAATACTAGGCCTACACAAGAAGTTTCAACTTCTTGGCCTACACGATTGATATATCAACTCTTCTAATAATAACTGATAGGTTATCATATCCAAGTAAAGGATTCCTTCAAACATGGATTCCCCAGGAATTCCCCAGTGTGAGCTATTGTAAGAGGTAATTCTATTGGTCAATGCACAGGCTAAAGATAGCTCAACACATAAGACAAATCCTACAGAGTTGAGTAAATTCCTATTATTTGAGAAAATTCTTGTCTTAGGGAATTCTTAAGGTACTTTGTGCATACCACTTAAGGGGTTTCCTCAGCTAAGAATTTTCTTATGAAGTTAAGGAGAATTTTTCACTTAAGATAAGGATTTTTTGTGCATACGGAGCCAGGGGCTTGAAGCGGATTATGGGGTGTGACGTGTAAGTGGACATTAAATTGTGTAATTATGACGAATGCCGCCTACTTGGTAAAATTCTTGATCTCGCTCAGTGACGATTAAGATATGTTGTCTAACGGCAAATACCCGCACTCTTTATTGCCTTTAAATATAGCGTCCTTATAGCGACTATGAATATAATGCGAAATACGAATCATATTCTAAGCGAGAGACGATTTCACGTCAATGCTGTTTTAACCACTAATTCAGGATCGCAGCGTGCTTTCCCAACTCTTTGAAGTTAAGATTACTCTTTCTTGGCAATTGTTGTGTTTAATTTTATATTTTCCACAACTAATTAATATAAAAAATAAGATGCATAGCCTAAATGACAAGCGTGCTCACAAGATCGGCGCCTCGTTGAAATGCTCTTGCCCATGCCTCAATGTTGCTACCCAGTATCGCGGACCTGCATTTATATATATATATATATATATATATATATATATATATATATATATATTGCTATTTATTTATGAAATTGATATGGTTATAATAACTGTGTGTTTATGACGACGAGTAGCATTATTTAAATTTTAAAGTTAGATATGTAGTTAAATCTTTGTAGCTAACCCTGGCCAAACGCCCAACTTTAAGAAATACCAAAGCTTATCATCTCACGTTTTCCGAAAAATGACATTTGAACAGATATTTTGCAACGTTTTGTGCTAGGTTTGATAACCCATGAGAGTGTACTATTATTTTAATGCGTAAAATATGAATGTCATTACTAAGTCATTTGACGGACTATTAAGAACTGGAGGCACTGTCAAATAGATCAAGTTAACGACCAGGAATTTGAAGAAGGTGCGGTTTCAAAGATATTTTAGCTGATCGAGATACTACTTCGGTTAATCCATTGGCATGCAGACTGAATCTGAATCGTATAGAAGTTATTTATATACACGTCTGTCCTATGGCATTCACGCTCGTTTCAAATGTTACTTTAAAGATAAAGATAATAAGATATTAATTGAAAACCACAATGTCTTGAACATAATTCTTTACCCCAGTAATTTGAAGAGTAGGTTAAAAACCATACAAAGATTATAAGACCAGTTCAAAATGTTTAACTCTTGAGTCTGGACAAAAAAAATGACCAATATAATGCTTTCATTTCGATTTCCACCTTTTTTGACTACAATTCTGGTCACTTTGAAGGCGAGGCACAATAGAAACTAGAATCTTGTGAAAATGTATTGTTTATTTTTAATCGTTCCTCAGACATCCATAGCCCAAACTATTCCTTAATAGACAAATGAAAAATTATGAAGCATAAAAATAATTGTCCTAATTACATTTGGATGCATAGTATTCATTACCTACAATGTCGCCTACAGCTGTGCATGACATACATGTGTCAGATACGTGCTTGTTTTTGGCCTTGTCCTGAAGTTTAGTATGTTACCATACCAATTTTACTAACCAGATATTAGCGTTCTCAAAGAAAGGCTGGTTTGACAAAATGTTTAGAGACTAAAATACAGTAAAGAAGAGCAAAAAGATTACGTAAGAAATATGAATGAAATATTTCCAAAAGTGAACATAGATATGCAAACTCACCGAAAGAAAGTTATGGATCAGACCAAATATAGTTAAGCTACAGGAACTTTTTTCAACAAATAACAAGAAAAACCTCAATAATATTATATAAATAGTGCACAAGGGGGTCAGGCATTCAGGTAGACAAGCCTGTGTTTGTATTGTTATATGCTCAAAGTAATTTTAAGTTTAAGTATAAAACAATAAAAGTAATTTGAAAAAAAGGCACCCTATAATTTGATGTCTTACCCCTGTATCTATGGTTTTTCAGTTTCTTTTCAGTACTACAATATCTTAGCATTATAAAGCCTAGTGAACTTTTAAGGATTTCTGCCTTAAATAACACTATTAATAATAATTGTTATTATACATTGAGTAATTTGTTAAGATTAAGGAATAATAAAACGCTTAATTTTAGTGATTTCCACGCTATAAACTTAATGAAAAAAATCCAATTTTATAAGTTTACAAGTTCATTTCGAGCCAGCGTTGTTGTCTCCCGTTGCCTAGCTTTTTAAAAAATCAGACCTCGATCACAGCTCGGAAATGGAGGTAAAAAGGTGCCATTCGCCTATAACGCCCGATAAAAATATAAGGGAATAGAAAACACCAACGATTCAATATACTATGGTAAATGTTGACACATTCTTATCAGTGGTGAGACCCGTTCCCAATTTGTTTCTGTAAATGTTGACAAACACTTATGCAAAATGGTGCATGCGACCAGAAAATTGGATGATGGCTCTGTTATCAAATTTGGAGGGGCAAGAAATGAGTGTTACGTTCGTGTGGGTTGCAAATACTTCTCTTTAGGTAAGAAGTA